TATGTTATTATGCATCGAAATCGATAAATCAATGTGTCTGCAAATGTATATAAATCACACTCAAAACATACATCACAGAGTGCATTTCCTGCTGTCAAACTAGACATAGTTGTGGATCTTTAAAAATGTTGAAATCATCGATTTTTTGTTTGGTCATATTGCTTTTTGCCTCCGGAAGTATGGCAGGATTCCAGTTAGGCCGCTTGCTCAATGATATTGGCATATCCCCATATCCAGTACAACAAACAATTGCTGTACCCGTGAAGATTCCCGTACCAGTGGACAGACCTGTTCCTGTACCAGTTCCTGTGGAAGTACCAGTACCCATTCATAAACCATATCCTGTCCCCGTACCATATGGTGGCCCAGGTTTTGGAGGCCCCAGTTATGGATTTGGTGGTCACGGCAATGGTGGTCACGGTTATGGTGGCCACGGGTATGGTGGTAGCGGTTATGGTGGTAGCGGTTATGGTGGTCACGGTTATGGTGGCAGCGGTTATGGTGGTGGATTTGGCGGTGGTTTTTCAAAAAGTTATGCTGAAAGTTATTCCAGCAGTTATGGGTTTGGCAAAGGTGGCTATTTTAAAAAATAAATATAATATGTTCATATTATAATGTAAATTTAAATAAAAGAAAAATAACTAGCGAAAAAATTACATTGTGCAACAAATATTATAATTTACAAAAAAAAACTCTCTAGATTATGATGATGATCAAAAATTTGAAAGTGCAAAACATTTTAAAGTTTTTTTCTATTTCAAAGTTCACCAAAAATTTGTCACACACCATACCAATATAAATACTAATATTAAATACAATCAGCCGGAAGCTTTTCTACACATAAAACAAGTAAGCAAAGGCTATAGTCGTGCGGGGCCGACCATGTTATACCCTACAACACTAAAATATGTTAAAAGCCCCCTTATGTCCAAATCCATTTTGGAAGATTTCGCTTTTGAAATTATCCCCAGATATTAGCCTTAGCATTGCTGTTGTGGTCTATTTTACAGCTAAATATAATCAAATGGTCATCCAAAATGCTAGAATTCTTTCCTGTCCTTAACTCTCTCTTAAATCAGGTATTTTTTTCTATATTAAATTCATTTGAACCCCCAATTTTTTTGCAATCATCTAAAATTAGACTCATCTATATGATTTTCTTTTCTACGATATTTGGCTAAATTCGTCAACGGAATCATCACAAATAAGTCAGAAGTTCAACTTTTGTGTATTTTGGATATCGCCTGTAAAATATTTTTAGCATTTCGGTAGAAAAGAAATTTTGGTATTTTTTAACACAAAAGTAGTGGTCCATCCCGCTGTTCTAAACTCTAACTTCATGCGAGATTTCGTGTCCTTTGGTTTCTATTTGTGACCTTTTTAACGACTGAAAAATCAAGAACATGTTTAGTTGTTGATCCATTTCAACCCCTAAATATATTGCGGACATCTTTGAAAACAATAGGCCTAGTCCTTCTGAGCCTAGCCCTACCCTTGTGGAAATTTTCGTGAGGATCGGACGATAATTGCAATATGTATATAATAACTCAAACCTGTGTTCTGAAGTGAAAAAATATTACAAAAGTATACTTCAATATTATAAGTCAGAATGAAAAAATCGCATGCGATAAAAAATATGAAAAAATAAAAATATGTCACAAAATACTACAAAATCTATATTAACATCGTTATTGGTATCATTTTGGGCGATTTTTTTAAATTTTATACTTTTATGCCAAGAGGGCATTCTGAATTGACGAAATTTGTCAAAATCGGTCCAGCCATTCTTGAGATATAAGCATTCTATCTAACATCCCCTTCCTTTATATATACACAATGCATATATATTTCGCTTTATATATCCGATATAATTATTATCGGCATCTACGTAACGGTCAGAATTGACCTGTTCGTCTATTTGCGATTTCGCCAAGATTAAAAATATTCGCGATTTAATGGAAGATTTGACTTTTATTTAACACAAATGTTGTGGCCTATTTCACCCACTAAATATTACCCGATGACCATCAAAATTGGAAGACTTCTGCCCAGCTCTAAGCTCTAGCCCCATGCTAGCTTGCGCGTCGATTGGTCTATAATTGCGACCTGTAGAGCAACTGGAAAATCAGGAAATAGGGTTCTATTCTGCCCCTATCCCCACCTCCATTTTCAATTTCGTGATGATCGGGCCATAATTGCGACCTGTAGCGTGATTACAAATTAACATGGACAGACGGACGGACATACATAGCTAGATCGACTCAGCTCGGCGAGATAGGAAGATCCATATATACTTTACTATGTGGGAAACCAATATTTCGAGGTGTTACATAATTTTTGGCCCAATCAAACCTATAATACCCCCAACACATAGTGTTTTAGGGTATAAAAAATATAGTATTTGACAAAATCTGGGAAATGTGGTCAAGACTCTTGAAAATAATGAAATCTGGAGCATTCTAAATCTGAGTGCTACCTGGAATTATGGACATACATTGAAATGTTTTGTGAAAATGAACTTATGAGAACATTTGCAGTGAATTGTGAAAAAGTGCTACATTTATACCTGACACCACACAGTGTTATGGGGTATTTTGTCATTTTACATTTGTTTGTAACTCGCAGGAAGAAACTTTGCAGATCCATAGATTCTTTTAATGACCTTTTTAGAATCACATGCTGAATCAACAGAGGGCCAGATTCATTCCTGAATTTCGGCCAATTCATTATCGGCTGAGATTTATATATAGATATATTTTCGTTTGATTTAACTCTTATTCTGTACCAAAAGGAATACATTTCGGCACATCCGATCGAATTTATCGCGGAAGCAATCATTTAAAATTTGGTGAAAATAGATTCAAATACAAATGTAGCTCTCATATATATATTCTATCCCATTTGGGGCTTAAGTACCAGACATCTGTAATATGCACTTCACTTAAATTGCACTTCAGTTCTTATGGAGATCGATTCAGTTTTTGATATAGCTTCCATATACAGTGTGAGATGAAAAAACTGCAACCAAATTCAGACTGCTGTCATTTCTAAGCCACTCGTCCGACAGCTGTTAAAATTATTCCAGTGACAGCTCATTATATTATTCACAAGCGTACAGAAGCATTTTGGTGAAAATTTCCCAAAAAAAAAATTATTAGTGGAATTCAAGCGTGATAGTTTGACTTCTTTATATTTGGTTGGAAAACCACAAGTGGCTATGGTTAGAACACTCCAGCATTTAAATGTAAATACATCTTTTGTGTCTCGTACCATCGCTCGTTACCGTGATACTGGTAGCGTAGCCCGACGTCAAGAAAATGGACGGAAGAAAACAACAACATCAGCTGAAATGGTTCGAAAAAGTAGAGAAGCGACTTGATCGAAACCCGCATCGCAGTGGCCAAAAAAATGGCTCGTGAGCTGAACATATCGCAATATTCCATTTGGCAAATATTGAAAAATGAGCTCGGGGTAACGACATTGATATTCCGAAAAGTGCAAGAACTTACACCGCAACATAAAGAAAATAGACTCAAAAGAGCTAAAGAGTTGCTTCGCTTGGCAGAAAGTTGTGAACTGCCGAATTTGGTTTTCTCCCATGAGAAAACATTCGTTATCCAAAAAACAAAATGATCGTGTTTACTTGCCAAAGAACTCAGCTGAAAATGTGCACCTTCGGTTGGCCACCAGAACTCAACCGCCGGCCATGGTGTGGGCGCCATAACAGCCGATGTTCGCTCTCCGATCGTATTAATCGATCGTATTATCGTGAAAGTATTCTGGAGGGTGTATTAAAGCCTTGGACAGGCAAACATTATGACAGCAGACCTTAGACATTCCAACAGGACTCAGCACCATCGCACTCAGCACGCCCGACCCAAGAGTAGTTACAAAATGTGGTTCCTCGCTTTATTTCCAGCGCACAATGATCAACAAAATCTCCAGATACCAAGCCGTTGAACGATTGTGTCTGGAGTATTTTGGAAAGCAAGGTTGGCACTAAAAAATACCAAAATTTCGATCACCTCAAGCAAGCGCTTGGCCGGGAATGGGCCAAAATTCTGCAGAACAACATTCGGGTAGCGTGTGACTGTTTGGCCGTTTGAAGGTCATAATTCGTGCCAAAGGTTACCAATTCGAACAAATCTAAACTCATTCTAAAATTTGTTACTATTTCCGATTTTTTTTTTTTGTTTTCTTTCAATAAAATTAAAAAAATATATATATAAATTATGGCATTTGACATTGTTGCAGTTTTTGTTTTATCTCACCCTTTATAGTATATCCACGATTTGTGTCAAACTTTTTACCGAAATTGTTTCAAATTTGGTATTTGCAGTTCGAAATGGTTACTACCTACTATGACACAAAATTGCCAGTATTCGATATTTCAAGGATTCTTGTTTATTCTTATTAACATAAAAAATAACCCATATATTGAAGCCCATTATCAACTAATATCGATGAAAATTGTGGCAGAAACCTTCAAACTACAAAAAATATGGAGGTACCGTTATATGGGGGCTATACTAATTAGTAGACCTGTAACGAATAGTTTTTGTAAATTTGGAATATTTTAGTTGATTTGGTTGGGAATTGTAGCCGAAACCTACAAAATACCAAAAATCTGAAAGTAGAGTTATATGGGGGTTATATGCAAACGTGGACCAATATAGCCAATAATATATACACCCATAAACAATAGAAAATTTTAATGCTTTGATTTATGGTATTTTAGTTGATTTAAAAATTTGAAATTACAAAGTGTTAATGTCGTCTACTTAAACTGAATTTCTGACTTAAAATCGAAAGTAATTGGCGAAAGTACCGGTTTTAAAAATACAATTATTTTGACACATTTTAACAAAGATACTTCCCAAACAAAAACATGTTTTGAAATGAAAGCATTATCGATATGATATTCTAATCTCCTGTTTCAATAGAATTTAAATCACAATTATACACTTGCCAATTTGTGCCAGAATAAATTTTAGCCAACCTTAGTTAAATCTCAAAGATAATACGAATATCCAGTCAGTCCCATTGTTGAAGAGCATTAGATCACTTCTGAACAAAAATTTAATTTTGGCAGCGAATAATATTTTGCGGTATAAAACGATCAGCTATTTTCGTTTAGAACATCAGTTGAAGTGATTCCCCGAAATCAACAAAATGGTAAGTGTTTTCAGAAAAAAATCTCAAAATGAAATTTATGAATTTAAATATTGTTTTTCTGTTTTGTTTTGTTTTTTTTTTTTACGAAGATATGTAAATCATTAACATTGGCTTTGGTTTTAGCCACGATCGTTGATTGCGGATTTGCTGGTTTCATTGGCAAGGGTTATGGCGGTGGATTTGGCGGCGGTTTTGGTGGGGGTTTAGGCGGTGGATTTGGTGGCGGCTTTGATGGTGGATATGGTGGTGGTTATGGCGGTGGCTTCGCCGGTTCCCAAGCCAGTGCCGGTGCCTATTCAGATGGCTATGGTGGTGGCCCAGTAGGTATTCCAATTGGTGTACCTTATCCCGTTCCTGTTCCCGTTAAACACGCCGTTCCAGTTCCTGTGAAAGTGCCTGTACATGTACCAGTACATGTGCCAGTGCATGTGCCAGTCCATGTTCCCGTCGACAGACCGGTTCCTGTTAAGGTTCCAGTTCCCGTTCCAGTTGATAGACCCGTTCCTGTCCCTGTCAAAGTTCCCGTACCAATTCATACACCCGTTCCTGTGGCCGTACCAGTTGCTGTTGGTTACAAAAAGGGTTACGGTGGTTATGGTGGTCGAGGCTATGGCGGTTATGGCGGTCGTGGTTTTGGCGGTGGATACGGCGGTGGTTTCTCCAAGAGCTATGCTTCCGCTTCGAGCTACGGTTCCGGTTACGGAGGAGGATTTGTGAAAACTAAGTAAATTTAATAGATTATTTTTTTCAATAAAATTGTTTATATCATAATATTCGGTTACTTCATTCACAAAACATTCAAGATCATTTATTAGTCAGAATTTCATAGCATCTCAATCAGTTTTTTACCAGTAACTTGTTTTCTGCGCTATATTCAATTGATTAATGTTTTTAAAATATTCAAAAATAGAAAGCATAAAAACAAACCGGTTTCAAGTGATTCCAGATAAACACTTTTATCTCGTCGTATTCTAAGCAACGACGTGTATTTTTGCAACGAAAACGTTTTCAGTTAAAAATAAGCAAAAGAGGCGTTAAATATGGCGAGAACGTTACATAGCAGAAAGTCTATGTAATTCTCATAATACCTTTATATGATGCGCCTAAGAGAGATCATCTCTGAAAGGTTAAAGTATCAGTCGGTTTTGCCGACAGATGTATACCCTCAGCCAATGTTCGATTATATTAATATATTTGGACTTCTGTTATGATTATTCAAATTGTTGATCCTCTATAGAGTGGGTTCCGAAGGAATGATCCAATATTGTCAATTTCGTATCAGAATTAAATAAATATGATGTAAATATTGCGACGTGCCGGGCTTAGACTAGATTGCTTACTACCATCACCTTATAGGATATATGTGATAATTTTTGTTAAAATGTGCGTGAGGTTCCAGGTATAGTCGACCGAAGTATTCCATTTTCATACAGGATAGGTACAAAAAGGAATGGTTCGATCTTTACCATCTTTATAACAGATCATATGTTGATAGAAATATTGAGATATGCCAAGTCTGAATGGAATCGGATGTTAACTTGTTATGAGCTTCAGCTTATTCACAATTTTAATCCTTTGTAAGGGAGGTACCAGAAGGATTGGACCGATATATTCATCTTCACACTAGACCTTGGGTTAATAAAATTGTGAAATTTGGCGACAATCGGACTCTTACATAACATTTTATAGGAGATATTATTATTCAAAATGTTGACCCTTTGTGGTTGAGATACTTGATGGAGTGGACAGATATTGTCCATTTTCTGACTAAACCTTGCACTCATGCAAGCATTAGGATTTGCAAAGTTAGAGAAAAATCGGACTATCCTTTATCTTTCCGTGCAGTATTTTTTTTTTTTTTTTTTTTGAAAATTTCGACTTTTTGTGGGGGACGTGCCAGAAGGAATATTGCCCAACTCCGAACTCGACCTTCGTTTTATAATAATATTACGATGTATCCAATTTGCTCCAAATCGAATACCCCCTTCGAGACAGACAGACAGACGCGCTTTTATGGCATTTTGAAGGCTTTAATTTCATTCTGCAACCCTTATTTACTGGCAATTACAGTTAAATATGGAACTGGTTCAAATATTGAATACCGTTAATTTTATTTTCAAAGCTTTCTTTACCTCACAGAGGACTACCGCCTACTGTTCGAGTCGGTCGTACATAAGACTTTTTTACTTAGCTCATTCAACCATGGGCTTATTGATTTACCCTCGTATCTATTGCCGTTAAGCATCGTTATACAAATCAAATTCAAAATATCCCATACGCGTCTATATTATATAGAGGGTTCCAATGTCGAAAGTACTCTAGTACAGACAATAAAAAATCGTATTTTGGTTTGTATGTGACGTATGTTTTTTATTTTTTTATTTTATTTTAATACTATTATTATTTTTTTTTTTTGCTTCGACTTGATTGCTTGGCTCGCCATTAACTTCCGCTATCGTTTCACTTTATTATTGCCTTATCAAACCCTTAGACTATACCCTTAAAAAAATGAAAATAGGAGGGATTGACTATGTGATACCCTATACCATCATAACACTGTGCATGAAAAATTCAATGTTAATAATTACCGGAAAAATCTTGTACATTATTAAAGTACAGGGCGAGATAAAAAAACTGCAACAAAGTCAAAAGCCATAATTTTTACATTTTTTTTTCTTAAATTTAAAAAATTTTAAAAATGTCGGAAATGGCATCAAATTTTAGAATAAGTTTAGATTTCTTCGAATTGGTCACCTTTGGCACAAATTATGGCCTTCAAACGGCCAATGAAACGGTCGCCCGAATGTTGCTCTGTGGTATCTTGGCCCATTCCGTTAATACACCCTACAGAATATTTTCGCGATAATATTCGGCATTTATTCTGATGCCATATTCGATTAATACGAGCGGAGTGCGACCATCGGCTGTTATGATGGCCAACACCATCACCATGGTCGGCGCTTGAGTTCTGGTGGCCAACCGAAGGTGCACATTTTCAGCTGACTTCTTTGGCAAGTAAACACGATAATTTTGTTTGTTTACAAATTGCTGGGCGACGAATATTTTCTCATCGGAGAAAATCAAATTCAGCCGTTCACCACTTTCGGCCAAGTGAGCAACTCTTTAGCTTTATTCAGTTTATTTTCTTTCTGTTGCGGTGTAAGTTCTTGCACTTTTGGAATTTCAGTTGCTCATTTTTCAATATTTGCCGAATGGCAAAATCGCTAAGGCAATATGCAAATATTTGAAGAGGTCTATGTATAGAATTTTAAACCCACATTTTTGGATTTTTCAAACATTTATTTGTCATTCGTTTCTATAACTGTTTTTTTATACCCTCCGCCAAACTATGTATAAAAGGTATATTAAGATCGTCATTCCATTTATTAGCCATCGAAATAATAATCGTAAATTTTTAAGACGATTTAGCACCGTCCTTCTGTCCGTATGTCCGTCTGTTGTAATCACGCTAGAGTCAAAACGAATAAAACTCGGAAGGTAAAATTTGGCACAGATCAGTCTTTTGTTTGCAGGCTGGTTAAGTTTGAAGATGGGCTATATCGGCCCACGATATCGTTTAGCCCCCATACAACGGTACCCCCAAAATTCGTCAAAATTTTTGCATTGTCTGAAAATCCACGAAAGGAGTTCCTTCTGAATACTTTACTCCATGTCTATATATGTCCAAAAATAGTATATCCCCCATACAACTGTACCTCCCGATATTCGGTATTTAGATCATTTTAGCCACATTTTTCAATGAAATTGTCCGCAAATCCACACTAGAAGTCCTTTCTAAGCACGTTACACCCTGTAAGAAAAATATCTACATAGGTTCACGATATCGTATAGCCCACATACAAGGTTACCCCCGATATTCGATATTTTGACGAATTTAGGGAAAATATTTACCGAAAAGGTTTCCAATTTCGTATTTAGAGTTCGTAATGGGAAGTGCATTCTATGATAGAAAATTATCTATGCAGGTTTTGGTCTTCGTATAGCCCCATATATCAGTTCTCCCTATATTCGGTATTTTGACGATTTTTGATACTACATTCACCGAAGTTGTTTGAAATTTTGTATTTGAAGTTCCTAATAGGTACTACAGAAAATTGTCTATGCAGACCCAGGTCTTCGTATAGCCCCGATATAATGGTACCTATCTATATTCGGTATTTTGATGATTTTAGCTACATTATTTACCGGATTTTTTTCATGTTCCGTATTTAAATATTGTAATGGCTTATGACAAAAGTTGCGTATGCAGGTCCACGTCTTCGTACAGATCCCAATATAACGGCTATTTTTCGTATTTTTAAGATTTTAACAAATGGATTTCATCTTTTTTTTTTTTTGTTTTTGAAAATTTTCAAGTTCGTTCCAAATGGTGGAAGGTATTTCTACCCGGCCGAACTTGCTGTTTTTTTACTTTTTTTTTGTAATAAAGTATAGCATATAGTTCCACAGCTCAAATACCGGAACATTGTAAAAGGTGGGCGGTATTAAAAGTTCGATTGAGCTTAATACCGTTTTTACTTGTCACTACTCGCAGAAGTACTGCCGCTCAGATTTGTCCGACTGTCACTCTCTACTTAAATTCGAGCGAGCATTTCCGTGATCTTCATAAAGTACCCCAATTCAATAAATAAGAATAGGTAGCAGTCCATTATAATCTCTTGGACCTGATTTTGTGACTTTATACTCGATTTTGTTTCAAAATGTTTTATAACATCTTCTTCTGTCGTTTATTTAAAAAAATCCAGTATCAAACTCCAAACATCATCAATATTAAACTTCTCACACATTTGCCTGCTACTGTAACCACGATATAAACAGACATATGTTGGACATTTATTGATTTTCATTCAGAAAATCCAAAACAAGAAACAAGTCTTTGAACTCTGGGCTATCTTAAACTATAAAAGAAGCGGTGAACTCTTAACACGAATTAGTTGAACGTATTCACTGAAACACTTAAAATGGTAAGCCAAGAAAACAAAATCAAAATTTATTGTGCATGATCTATCAATCAGAAAAAAAAGCAAACCGGCCTCATTAATAACGTGTCGATAAACTATTTCAGAAAATAACAAAATCATCGATTGTCTTGGCAATGCTGTTGCTGTGCGTGAACACAATCTCAGCACATAGGAAATTTGGCGGTGGCTTTAAAGGTGGTTTCGGTGGAGGTTATGGAATACCCGTTGGTGTACCGGTGGGAGTTCCAGTAGGTGTACCAGTTCCTGTGCAACAACCCGTCCCAGTTCCAGTACCCGTACATACACCTGTGGCCGTACCCTATCCCGTACCTGTTGGTGTTCCTGTTAAGCATGGCTTTGGTCATGGGCATGGTTTTGGTCATGGCCATGGATTTGGTCATGGATACGGTGGTGGTCTGGGTGGATATGGCGGTGGATTGGGTGGTGATTTTGGCGGCGGTTTCTCCCAAAGTTACTCATCCAGTTATGCCAGCAGTTTCAGCGGTGGTTTAGGTGGTGGCTTCCTCAAAAAATAGTTTTTTTTTTTTTCTCTGCCTCCGTGTAAAACTTTTGTTGTTAATTTATTCAATTAGTTATAGAAGAACGTAGTTGTTGTTGTACAAAAAACTACAAAAAGTAAATAAATGCTGTGCGTATGTTGTATAGATTTTAATGTAAACAAAACTATTATTATCTGTTTGTATTTACTTTTATGGTGGGAACTCATTTGGAGTGGATTCACATTTCGAGGACATCGTTGGGTGAATCAGCAAAACAATTCATATTCAATGAATTGAATATGATTTTGACGAATAGCGCTGTGGGGCTTTTAAACAACCCAAAATAAAAATAATAATCTTTGCTAAAAGTAAAGGTGCTACACACTCTTATTTTTGAATTGTGCGCGTACGCTTGTAAAACCAGTTACTGCATTGATCATTCATTGATGCTCCCAAGTACAATAGACCATAGCAATGGTCTAAATAATGGAAAATCCCATTGGCATTTCAACAGTCACGCTAAAAACCTGCTTATTAACTTTGCTGATTCGTAAAAAATATAGTTCTTGTAACTATAATGGGAGATTAATAATAAAACCTATTGCAAAAACTTATACATTGTCAAATAACACTGTACGACAAAAATCAAATTTTTCCGTGATAATAGAAAACAAGTTAAAAAACAGTAAATTCGGCTGGGCTGAACTTTGAATGCCCTCCACCATTTGGAACGAATTTGGAAATTTTCAAAAAATAAAATCCGTTAAAAAATTTTGTTAAAATCTTAAAAATGTCGACTATAGCCGTTATATTGGGATCTATGCGACGTGGACCTACATAGGCATTGTTTGTTATAAGCCATTACCATATTATAAACGGGTATAATGTAGCATCTGCAAAACAACGTATATAGGGAGTTACCGTTATATCGGAGCTATACGAAGACCTGAACCTGCATAGACAATTTTCTGTCACAAACAATTTCGGTGAGTATTGTACATAAAATCGTCAAAATACCGAATATAGGGAGGTACTGATATATGGGGCTTATACGAAGACCTGGACCTGCACAGACAATGTTCTGTCATAGACTGTAATTCCCATTACGAACTCTAAATATGTAATTTGAAACTACTCTGGTGAATAATGACGCTAAAATCATCAAAATACTGAATATTGGGAGGTTCCGTGGATCTACACAGACATTTTCTGTCATAGGCTGTAGTATCCATTACGAACTTCAAATGCCAAATTTGAAACAATTCCGGTGAATAATGTCGCTAAAATCATCAAAATACAGAATATCGGGAGGTACCGTTATACGGGGCTATACAAAGACGTGGACCTCCACAGACTTTCTCTTGTCATAGGCTGTAGTATCCATTTCGAAATTCAAATACCAAATTTGAAACAATTCTGTCGCTAAAATCATCAAAATACCGAATATTGGGAGGTCCCGTTTTATGGGGGCTACATGAAAACATGGACCTACATGACCTAATTACGAACTTAACCTGCCTACAGGCAAAATAAACATGTGTGCAAATTTTTAGCCTTCTATCTTAATTTGTTCGAAAGATAGCGTAATTACAACAGACAGACGGACATGGCTAAATCGACTTAGAATTATACGCTGATCAAGAATATATATACTTTGTTGGGTCTGAGGAGTTACAAACGGAATGACAAATTTTATATATAGAGGGTATAAAAACCCGAAAATTATGAAAGCAAAGCCAACGTTAGTAGGAAGGTGTATTATTGAGAAATGTTCATCGCAAGTTCCCCTCTTCCAATTTTTATTAGATTTTCGGATTATGATTTATTGAAATCTTTACATTAAAGGTTTATAGAGTCTTCGGCAGTAGTACATATAACAAGTAAAAAAGCAGCTAAGTTCTGCCGGGCAAGATTTTTTCCACCATTCGGAAAGAACTTAAAAATTAAAAAAAAAATGGGTAAAAAATACCGCTCAAATGAAAAATGTTTTGTCATAGGCTGTAGTATCGATCACGAACTACAAATACGAAATTCGAAGCACTTACGGGTGGTCGGACAGGGCTAAATCGGTTTAGAATTTTACGCTGATCAAGAATATATATACTTTGGTGGGTCTAAAATTATTATTTCGATGAGTTACAAACGGAATGACGAACTTAATATATATGGTGGAAGGTATAAAAATACGAGGAGGAAACGGGCCCATTGGAAGTCCAAATTATATCTAACACTCCAACCTTTCCAAAACGCTGCAATATGTGGTTTTCCCGTATCCACAGACATGGGTCTTTCAACCAGGATAACCCGATTCTGTTTAGTACATCGAACTAAATTTTATGCTATTAAAGGTAGCAGGCCTTCAGCCAGGGCTTCAGTTTTTTTACGTGGACCTGCACGGACAATTTTCTGTCATAGGCTGTAGAATCCATTGCGAACTTCAAATACCAAATTGGAAACAATTCCGGTGAAAAATGTTGCTAAAATCATCATAATATCAAATATGTGAAGGTGCCGTTATATTGGGAACTATACGAAGACGTGGATCTACATGGCCCAATTTCAATACCAAAAGTACTGCAGAGAAAATATATATTTGAGTAAAATTTTACCAACCTACTTCATTTCGTTCGGAGTGATTTCCACAGACGGATAGACGGCCGGACATGGCTAAATTGATATAGAATTTTATGCTGATAAAGAATATATAATTTGTAGGGTCCAAGTTGGTAAGCCTTTGCCTAGCCCTAATCTTAAAACCCCAAAATATTTTGCCAAAAAGAATAGGCTTTCATTCTGACCATAATCCCACCTACGTGCAAAATTCTGTGAGGATCGGGTCGTAATTGCTACGTGTAGCGTGATAAACATTTTTGAGTAGATAAGCGATGTCACGCCCATTCGTTTACATATTTATCTAAGACTCCCACAGCACAGCTCAGGTCAGCTGTCCATAACATTAAGAATCATACATTTAAATAGGTAAGACCACTATGACCTTTACATAAATTCGTATTTCGAAAGCTTGGTATATTTATATTAAGAATTTTACCTTATTAATCATTTAATTTTTTTAACCAGCCACCATTCATTATTTATAACCCAACCAATATGTGTTGAATACCCGAAATAATTTTAAATTTCATTATCGTCTCTGTCTTATCGCGATGTTGAACAAACCGCAGGAAAATTAATGTTTCCAAAAGATTCCATCTAATTTTCAACCGCATTAATTGCCATTAACTGGCAGCCATTATAGGCAATAAATTTTAAAACAAAGAGTTGCAACCCCCTACCCCACCGCCACCCTCTGGAACATTGTTGATATCTGTTACATTTTAAAGCCTAAAGCAAGGGAACGCAGGAAGAAGGACTCGCTGCTATTGTTATCATTTCAGAGGGTAATTGAGCCAAGTGAATTGAATTAGACAGTTGGTATGTCGTTAGGAGAATATTTGTGCGGATGGTAAAGCAACAGAGCCGACCAAACACAATACAAACAACAATGGCGTCTATATACTAAATGCTGGTTGTGGAGACAACAGATACACACACACATGCATACATATGCATTGTATGTGTATTTGAACAAAAGAGTCAAAGATTAAATTGGACAGAATAGAAAACGCCTTGAGCCTTTAAATAGAAGGCGGAGTGTAGTTAATTTCGTATTTATTCAGGCAACCTTAATGGCAGTGGGTATCATTCCGATATTAAGGCCATTAAGCACAGAAGGATGTATGGGACAATCCCAGATTCAATGTCAACAGTAGATTTCGGGTGTGTTAGAATGAAAAAGCGCATCATAAAAATACAAAAAAAAAAAGCAAAAGCAAAAGCTGTAAGTTCGGCCGAGCCGAACTTTAAATACCCTCCACCATTTGAAACATATTTGGTAATTTTCAAAAAAACAAGTAAAAAAGTATCGGTCGGTTTTGCCGACAGATGTATACCCTCAGCCCTCTTCACCCTCTATGGAGTGGGTTTTGAAGAATGGGTCAATATTGTTCATTTCGTATCGGACCTAAATAAATATGATATAAATATTATAATAGCAGATGGATAAATCGATTGTAAAGAATCGCTTAGTTGTTTCGCAATTTATGACAGATAAAAATATTGAAAATTGTGTCCCTTTATAGCAACTTCACAACAGATCTGGTGTTAGCAAAAATGCTTGTATGTGTGAAATTTGAAGAGAGTTGGATCCTTATTTCGCTTTCTTTGAGCGTTATGTTTTTTAAAATTAGATTATTGCTTCCCTTTCTGTGCAGAAAATATATATTTTTAAAATTTCGACCATTTGTGGGGGAGGTACCAGAAGGAGTGGACCGATATACTCCATCTTTATTCCAGACCTTGGGCTAATAAAATGATTGGGATGTGTGAAATTTGAAGACAATCGGACTCTTTCATCATATTTTATGAGAGTTGTAATTATTAAAAATTTTGACCATTTGTGGGGGAGGTACTTGAAGGAGTTAACCGATATTGTCCATTTTCACACCTGACCGAGTACTGACGCAAATATTAGGATTTGCAAAGTTTGAGCAAAATCGGATTATCCTTTCTCTTTCTGTGCAAAGAATATTTTTTTGCAAATTCCAACCTTTTGTGGGGGAGGTACCAGAAGGAGTGGACCGATATAGCCCACCTCCGAACTCGATCTAAGTTTGAGAAAGATATTACGATGTACCAAGTTTGGACCAAATCGGATACTCCCTTCGAGAGTTATCGTGCGCACCAGCCAGCCAGACAGACAGACAGACAGACAGACGGACGGACGGACGGACATCGCTAGATCGACTCCAAATGTTCTGAAACGGATTTGGTCCAAAGAGACCTAGGGTCTAAAACCGTTATTTCGACTAGGCACGTTTTGACCGTATCAAATGATATATACCCTCTGTAGCCATATGGCTGAGGGTATAAAAATCCGTTAAAAATTCTGTCAATGTCTTAAAAATGCCGAATATATCCGTTATATTACGGTCTATACGACGAAGTGGACCTGCATAGGCAACTTTTGTCATAATGACATATTGTAAATCAATGAAAATATTCAATTGCGAAACTTAAAAAAATCGGTTAATAATGCAGCTAAGATCAATAAAACACTGAATATACGGAGGTACCATTATATGGGGGCTATGCGAACACGTGGACATGTACAGGAAATGTTCTGTC